GGGGCGCAGGCTGCTGGGATTTGCAGTCTTGCGAGGGCGCGCGGCGGGGGTGTCTCGCGCCGGAGGGGCGCGCGGGCCCCCTCAGGCAGCGGGCGGGAGCGGAGCTGAGGAGAGGAGAGGAGAGGAGAGGAGAGGAGAGGAGAGGAGAGGAGAGGAGCGGAGCGGGCGCTTCGCCCCGGCCCCGGCCCCTCTCTCCCCGGGGCCGCACTCGCGGCTGCGTGGGGCGCTGCGGTTGAGTTTTTTTAACGCGGGCCGCTTGCACAGCTCTTCTGCGCACCTGGAAGGCGGTCTCTTGTGGTCGCTTGGGCTCACTGCAAGGTTAGAAGTTGCGCCTTGGCACCGCCGCTGTGGTAGCAGCGGGGCAGGGCCCTGTTAGGCTGCGCGCAGGGCAGCTCTGAGGACGCGGGGAGGCTGGAGGCTGCCGCCCCGGGGGCTGCTCAAGGGGTCAGGCGCCGTTGAAGCTATGGGAAGTCCCTGGGCTGGTAGAGCCCTACTGCAGGTCGCCCCATCCGCGGCAAGGGCACGGCTCAGGCTCCTCGCCAGGAGGCGGTTAAGGGACGGGGGTTGCGTGGTAAAGAAGCACAGGGCAGAGGTGGGGATGGTGCGGGTGGACAGCGGGAGAGGTGTGGTCTCGGGCAAGTGCCACCTGGCTTGAAAAGACACATCAGGGTAAAAATGTGGTCAGCTGAAAAAATAAAAAAAAAAAAGACGATAATAGAGAGGAAAGCCTTGGTAGATGGACAAAAAGAGGGATCGTATCTACAGCAGCAGATCGGTGATGTTGGCTCAGGTTCTGTTGCCTGCACTACTTTAACCTAGTGGTTCGTTTATCTAGCGAGTGGCTATTCAGCATGCGTGTGATAGCTGCATCGCTTCTGAGGCACCATGAATTGGTTGTTTCCCATATGGACTTCAGTTTTGGTTTTTCTATTCCAGTGATGTGAAAACTGAGGTCTATGTATCAAGCTCTGGAATAACATTCCCTTTCATATTGTTTTGCATGTGTTCCTTCTGTACCCCGCAAATGTTAATCCCCAAATTTTGAAACAAAACTGAATTTTCACAAGCTTTGAAGTCAAAGGCCTGTGAAGCAATGCCTTTTTACTGAAAATCGTTAAGGCATATTCTTATGAGGTTTTCCTCGCACTAAACAGCTTTTCAGTAAGCAAGTTCTGATGAAGGATAAAGTTCAAAATTTTCCTCTAAATAAGTTCTTAAGTGCCCTAATTTAAGAAAAAGAATCCAATATCGAAACTTAACAACGACCAAAAAGCCCCTGCACTATATAGGCTGTTCCAGATTTGGGTTGGGTAGAATCTGTTCTGATCAGTAGGACATGGTCAAGGAGTATCCTCAGAGAACACAGGTTCTTAAAAACAGAAGGTAATCAATCTTTTATTGAGAGGGCGATTCTCTTTCTTCTTTCCCCTCATACTGTGGGGAAATATGCTGACTGTTAAAGCCATATCAGCTCTTTTGGAGTTACCGGCCACCCCTGTTAAAATACCAAGAAAGTATTAAATCTGACAGAACTCCACTAGTGGACTGAAGTGTGTCTATCCCATATGAGGGTGCTGAGGAGGAGGCGCGTCTTTAGAAATATCTTGAGATGTGTCTGACTTCTGAACTTCTAACTGACATCACCAGGCTTTGATTCAAGCCTGAAGGGCCTGTGGGATGTCTGGCATTTCAAAGTTGGGGTAGAAATTGAAGATTTGGATGCCAGATTCATTTTTGGTCTTAATTTGTTTGATCACTGCTTCTAAATGAACACTGCTGATGACTGAGGCTGTTGGTGCCAGTGACGGATGTGGGTATTAACGAGAGACTGCAACACTTTGCAGTAAGCTGGCAAGAGCACGGCTAGTTGCAGTGCAAGCAAACAGGAGCTCTATGGCTGATTTTTCTCCCTCTCTCTCTGGATAAAAAAGTAGATTCAGCATTCTGCAATATCCCAGCTGCAATGATTTCGCCCACAAAAATGTGCCTTTCTGCTGTTCTGCTAGCACTGTGTAATTTATTCTGACTTACAGAAAATATTTCTGAACCTTCACACTGTCCTGTTAAATATCATGTCATTTGAAAAGGGAGAAGGAAATTACAGCTGTGGTACAAAATCAATCCGTGCAGTTTAGAATTTGGTGAAATGCTATTTAGATCTCCTCTGGCTGTGCAAAGAGCACAGGGGTTTGAATAAGTTACAGTGTTTCATCCCCAGAAGGAATTGAACTGGTAAGAATAATACTGGGCGTCAGGGCTCAGCAACCCGTCCAGGGTGGTGTGCTAGCCTTTATTTTAACTTTTCCAGAAGACAGTTTATTTACCGGCAAAAACTCTACAAGAATTGGACCTGCTTAGAAGTTTTGAGCTGCTGCTGATCAGTGGTAAGATACTACCTTGCCTGCATGTGAGGCAAGAGTTTCTAGCTTCCACACAGTTCCAAACTTAGTGGGAGCCAGGACTAGGAATGTAGGAATGTTTGCTTTTCAGGAATGCTGTGGTTCCCAGTTCTAGTCCCTGGCCAGCCCTGTTGCGCACCATCCAAAATCTATCTGCCACCTTTGGCTCCTATCCCGTGGGGCTGACTGACAATTTTTCCTTATCACATTTTTAAATAGAGTTGATGAAACATACTATCCTATTGACTTCATAGGAAGAAGTGTGAGAAAAATGAGCAAATTTTACCATATACATTTTCTGCCTGCATCTCCTCTGATCTGGGTACACTTTGGGGCTCCCTGGACTTTATAACTGGAGTCTATTCAGCATTTTATTTCTTCCAACACAACATAGGGGAAAAGGTGCAACTCCCCAGAATCCCCGTTCCCTGCTCTCATTTAGAGGTGATTATTCCTTTATGAATCTTTACCCTAGATCTAGCAAGAAGGGCAAGCTTTCCCATGGCCCTACTTTATTAAAGATGGGGATGTTCCCAGGAGTCCTCTTTAGCTGAGCGACCTTTGAGCCTCATGGCTGCTGCTCAGGGTTGTTGGTTCCCCCTGAGGTTAGCCCTGAGCAAGCTGCAGCTCAGGAAGAGTCTCTGAATCTCTCTCTCCTGTGGAACTGCTCCTCAGTGCCACTATGAAGTAAAATCCCAAAGGCTTCACTGGTATTCAGGAAATAGACACCCTCCAGGGGAACCAGAGGCTCTCTGCCCGCCATCAGGGGGCCAGTCCTCCAGGAGGCAGAAACTTTCTAACCCCTCATTAGATATCAGCCTAGTCAATGTGTATGACCTTTGTCTTTCAGGTTCCCAAGTGCTGACTTACTGTCTGTATGTCTCACTTTCTCTTCTTTACACTGTAACTTTGCTTACAGGAGTGTTGTGTTCATAGGCTACGTTATGTTTGGAAAATACAAGAACAAGTTGTCTTGTAGTATTTTCAAACATGCATATCTTAGTAAGAAACACTTACCCCGGAGGTTATAGAGCAGTTGCCAGTTTCTACCAGTAAATCTCACTTGTTCAAACACAGAACGTGTTATGGCTTTAATCAGTCTTTTAGAACCTCTAATTCATTGCTGTAAGTGAAAGTGTATGAGTAGCTGAAGACTGTATATATACAAAAAATGAAAACTTGGTATCATTTGTTTAATCTTCTTGGTGCTGAGGGATTTTTCAGAGCATTGATGTTTGCTCAAGTGAACACCTGTTGAAAAAATTGAGAACATATAATCCTGAATAAGTAGATATGTTTGGATAAGAGTTCAGTGATGGAAGCCTTAGCTTGTATTGTTGAGATTTACTACCTGTTTTGAATAGGTTTACTTTTCTGGGTAGGCATGCAGCAGAATCCAGGGTCACTGAGTACCTCAAGTGGAATGCTTTAATGCTACAACACTTTTATTGAGCCAGGCGTGAGTTGAAGAGGTAAAGTCAGAGAAAGAGTCTATATCTCAATACTTTACTCCAGCAAGAACTTCCAAATTTTTTCTTGTTTCTTCCCAAACCCACAGTGTGGTGATGGTGGTGTTATCTGGAATGATCAACAGATTCAAGTACAATGTAGTGGGCCAAAAGGAAAGCTGGAGGAAGTGAAGAATGTTGTGTTGACCCTAGCTTTCTCAGTAGCACTGAAAAAAATCAGAGAGAACCGATGTGAAAGAAGATTTATATTCTTTTGTTTCTGACATTAAAGTTTTCTACTAGATTGTATACAAATACTCTTTTCTTACTGTTTTTGAGATAAACTTAGATTTTGCTTACCTTTTATAACTATTAATACTATTATAAAAGACAAGAGGGCAACTGGGAAGAGTAGAGCATTTTATTCAGATTGCTAAAAC